CTTGAAATCTGATTCCTAGTCATCCTCAACATGATGGATTAGATAATAAATGTGGTCAGATTTGAATTGCAGGTGACAAGCCAGGACAGAGAAAAAAGAGGAAACAATTTGATTTAGTCGGGCGGAACTGCGTAAAACGTCTGGGCGCACCGCTATTTATTTATCTCTATCTTGCTTCGAATACATCCTATTTCGCTGCCGTTTAAATGTATTTGTTTAATTGTTTTCATACATCGTATCGTGAAACTCATTACATGTTTCAGAGTTAGCAAGTGGTGACTCGAAACCGTACTTTCAAAAGTTTAGTTTCTCAGTTTTCGCATTGCTGGAACTGACCCATGAAAATTTCATAGACATGAACTCACCATGTGCTTTCATCACTTATGCAAGAAAACTTAAGAAGCATTCAAAAATATTTTTGATGAAAAACACGTTCAGCTTGAAATTTTTGCACACATGTTTGCGCCTCTGCACCAGTGGGTTGTTCTAACGGTTAGTCCTATGCTGAGATCCTCGGTGAAAAACCATTTATTGTGTGACTCGTTGGTTCATTTCGACGATGATTGATCCAGACGTTCGCGGAAGTTAAACAGGTTTCGAAAAAAGGACCAGCATCGACAGCTTTACTGGTAGAATGCTATAACTCGGGTGGCAAAGGAAGGTCTCTGACTTTTGTAGAATATGAAATAAGCAGAGAGTTCTGAATCTGACGAATGCAAACTTGAGTTAAAGAAGCGCAACATGACTTAGCTTCAGCGGTACCACTGGAAGTGTTAGTTCCGACGGCATGGGTTAATGCTCACTTCAAGGCATCACGAGAGTTGGGCGAGCTTCAAATTACTACCAGATACATAATGAATAGCCTCAAAAAGCCTTCAATAAGTCTGCTCCTTTTGTTCAGTGTGAGGATAGCAGATTGTCGAATTATGAAAAGAAGCAACAAACCGTGGCCAGAAGCAGCGACGAGTAGTCCAGCTGCGTCCGCTGCACTGTAGAGATTCCCTGATCCATCACTCCCGACGATGGTATCACAGCATTCAGCGCTACCGCCATCGTTTTGCCAGTACAATACCGTCTGTAAAATAATCATTTTCGTTACCTGTAGTGGAAGCCACAGCCAATAATACACTGTTACGAGCAAAAAACCACACAGCATTTTTTATATATTTTTACGTTTTACATATATTATCACCAATATCTTTTTATCCATTTTTGAACTTGGTTCAGTGGCGTTCACAGGGTAAGCACCACGTGGGCGCTGCCGTTTGCACTGCTTAGAGGCTTTGTGGTTCCACCGAAAAGGAATATAACTTGGGCCTTAAAATAACTTCTTTCTAATCTATAAAATAGACCTCAACTGAATGTCAACACAAATAAGTTTTTCCAATACCCTGTAAACGCCTCATTCAAGTTTGGAATTTAGAATATTTCTGAATCTTTTTTAAAAATTATGCAAATCCCCCGTCTAAATTCCTGCGGAAGACGGAAGCATTCGGTTGTAACTCGAAAAGAACGGTTGCCAGCGGCAGTCAACAGCAGGCAAGGCCTCGAAGTTACTTGGAAGCAAGCTAATGGTGGTTTGTGTCGCTGGCGTATGTCAGTACCAATTTATCATCGAAACGAATGAACGAATTATAAAAGAGGATTGATCGTTGCACTGACAAAATTGAGTCATGCCTTTCTGCATAACAAGAGTGTTGCTCCCCTCTATGGTATGCACGCAAGTTTGTAATATTTTTTATGAATTTTGATATGGGAAAGATATAATGGCAAGCAATAACCTTAACAGCTTGCAGAATCAAATTGGTGCTTTGTTCTCGTCACTAGAAAAACCAGGTCATTGATTTCAGTCGTAAATTGAAACTAACGCAAACCTCGAAAATCACTGGCTATTGACACCCTTGCCAGCGAATGGATACTATTGGCAGCATGGTACCACTTGAGCTAAATGGAGGCGTTTTTATCTCTCAG